ACCACCCCCCGGCGGCGGCGCAGGGTGGATGCGGCGCACAACTGCTGACGATGTGGAGGAAGAGTGCAGTGCCAGTCTGAAACTGGACGACGTTGAGGAAAGGCGCACGGCAGCCGCAGTGGGAGGTTTGTGCGATGACCGGCCCGTGACAGGAGCCATACGTCTGGATCGGACAAAGAAGCAAATGCTGGCTGCCAGGAACGGACAGACTGGGTATTCATCAACGTCTGCAGCCGGGGTGCCTGGTGTCGTTCAAGGGGGAAGGGGGCTGCCGCCGCCGCCGCTCCTCCTGTTCTTCTTCTCTTCCTTCTTCTCTCTTTCTTTTCATTCCTTCTCTCTCATGGCCCTGTGCCCGGCGGTAGGCATGTACCATAATAGGTACTCACTGCGCATGTACCTACTACATACATACACATGTACCCTATACCGGTACAAGGCACCCTGCGATGCCAGAAGTCGTCGATAGGGAGACCTGTGCAGCACCCATGGTCCACACTCCCAACCAGCTTGGCCAACACCCGCAATCGACCATGGGCCATGCGAGCAAGTCTGGGGACGAGAGCAAAGGGCCTGATCCTAGAACTGTTCGCTCGCGCATGCCACATGGGGCCAAGATCCCCGTCGATGATCCCGCCTCTGATTTGATTTGTTCAGGCGTGCTATGGACAAGTCCCATGTGCTATACAGAGTACAGTCTATACCCTGGTAGGCCTGCTGTCATGACGCTGATACTGAATCTACCTATACGTCGGCTTGTATTGGTATGGTAGCTGTTCGCATTCGCAGGCCAAAACAAGAGACAGCTGCATGCTGTGTACTGTGGCAGAGCGGCTGCCGATGACCACATCAAGGTGATCAAGGAAAGCGTGTGAGCGAGCGTGTGGGGCTCATCCAGCAGAGCCATCGCATCGCACATCCGTGGACAGGCCGTCACCAGCGAATGACGTGCACGGTAGAAGCGTGAGGTGACAGGCTTGCTGGCGCTGAAAACGGCCACCACGGAGTCAGTCTAGTGCTCGCACTTGAGCGCACCCCAAAGGGTCCCGCCGTCCAAGTGAGGGCGCCCATGGTATGGACAAGGTGTCTACAGTATTATCCATAGTCTGCCCTCCGTTCTCGGTCAATGCTCCGATGCACACCACGCATGGCAATAGCAGCCCGGTGGGCATCCTTGCATTTTCGAGCCTCATCCATGTGTCCTATCGACAAGAGTCAAGAGTGTCAGACGATAGAGTAGTCATCACATCAACACGGCTACCGGACGGCCGCCAGCCAGGAACCGATGGGCCAGCCAGGCAGCGCCACAGGCCCTCTTGCACTGAGTCAAACGTGGCCCGTTGGCGGAGGAGAGGGAGAGAGAGAGAGAGCGAGAGGGCGAAAAAGAGGCCTGGCTTGGACATCAAGTCGGGCGTGCTGCGCCGCCGGATAGGATGTCTGCCACGACTATCCAGGACCCTGACCGGCGGTACAGAGTACAGTAGCTCTAGGACACCTGCATCTCCCCAAGGCTTGGAGACGCCACAAGAATCTGCACACCGACAATGCGGTGGACTTGAGGCGGGAGAGATAGGCGCTACCCACTCCATAGTCCACAGTGGTATGATTAGGATGATCCAACAAGCGCCCTAGCGCATCGTCCGGGCGCCGCAGAGCAGCGGCAGGTTGGCACTACTGTGTAAGACGCGGTTCCCATCAAGACCATTTACGTGTACTCTACATGGAGTATGCATGTACACAAACCTACCGTGCTGATTTGTGTGGGGGGAGGTGGGTGGGGTTCCTTGTGCCCAGATGGCAAGGCCGTTGAGATGAGGTCGTCAGTATGCCAGATGTTCTTGACCCGTGATGCTGGAGCAAGAAAGCAGGGCGACACTTCGGCTGGCTGGTTGAATGGTTCAGTGTGCTGTACCTACCCACTCCCACTCCACCATGTTAGGTTGTGTGATGAAGGGGGGTCGGCCAGCAGCGGGAGGTCGTGCAGTTCTGTACGTCATGCAAGTGGTGGAGCTGAGTGGGCCATTTGATGAATTGACACAACACGGGCTGACAAACAAGACTTGGAGAGGTTGTGCGACGTCTGACGAAACCTCCGAGATTGGTGCCGTCGCAAGTACACCATGTTTGAGATGTGCCAGCGAGCATCGGGCGCGGCCCGTCCTCGTGAGATCTGACCAGCAGGCAGCAGCGCACGCCGCACGCGGGCTGGAGACGCGGCAGATGGTGGCTACCGTGTCAGCGTGAATGCTCTGTGCTGTGTGTGCTGAGTGCGGTATGCTGTGTGCTGTGCTGTGCTGTGCTGTGGGGGGAAGAGAGAGGGGGAAGAAGGTTTGGCAATTCCACGATCAATGGCCCCAATCGTCATGCTGAGCTGTTTGACTACTCTTGATCTTGTCACTCTTGATCTTGTCACTCTGATCTTGTCACTCTTGATCTTGTCACTCTGATCTTGTCACTCTTGACTCTTGTCCATACTATACACACTCTCGACCATGATGCCCCTTGGAGCCATGGTACCCACACCACATACATCACTCTATCCAGAAACATGAACGAGGTCCATGTTCCCCGTTGTGGGATTCCGTGGCATTGGGCCCCACGTGAGAATGCACAGGGTTTGATGTTCGATGCCGCCGTTCGTGAAACCCAGCCATCGGGCTGAAAGACTTGGACACAGGCCAAAAAAACATGTCGAAACTTTCCGCTGCCGCTCACCCGTCGTTCGTCGACTGCCGCTCTTTGCCTGTCACGGCATGGTCTCGCCGTACCCAGTCACGTCTTTTGGAGTCTTGACAAGTCTGTTTGTCGGGAACTCTAATCAATGGGGGGCCTGTCTGTGCGAGCACCTAATACACAGCACAGTTGACAACTTGACATCTCCGGTACCTTACCGTACCATGGCTTTGTACCATGACTGTGCCTCCGCATGAACTATGGTACCATCCCAGTGCGCAGTGTGCACTGCCGACCAAAACCACATGCACGTGTTCTCGACCAGTGCTTCATTTCGGTGCCTAGGTACCGCACAAGTACTCGCCCGCCGGTGGGACTCTATCCGCAATCGCATGTTGGGCTAATTGCCAAGGCGAGAAGCTACCATAGCGTACGGTCCAGGCGACTGAACTGGACGGAGGTACACTAGGAGAAGTCTGGGTTAAGTGAGATGCCTGACTCCATGGCCATCCGCGCACCTCGAATTCCCTTCCAGACCTCAACCAGAGCAGCCCCAGTACCTACACCCTCATCTCCGAAGACAACCAACGCCCCGAGGAGGAAAGTAGCGACTACGATTGGTGGAATGCTCGCCGCTGACTCCAAAATCGATAGCAGAACGAACAGCCCTTAGTACCGCTGACATGGTCCATCTTATGTCCATGGTTCATGGTTGTTGTCCTTCTCGCCTTGGCTGCTCCACCGATCACCGGTGACGGACGTTTAGACCTCACGCTTGTTCCGCGCATCGCGATATTGGAAACCTGTCATGCATCTCTCCTTGATACCTTCTAGTAGCATGACACTTGAATAGGTAGGCTGGGCGTACAGTGTAGTGTACCAAACAGCCGCTCGAATCGCTATTGAGCTTGCACTATCAAAAGTTTATGACTCTGAACATGTGTGATCGCAATAAAGGTTGCGACTTAGTATACACATCGTATATACAATAGACAAGAAGCCCTCTCATATCAACACGCATTCGCATTTTTGAGGAAGCTTGGTGCTTGTATCCATCAGCATCATAGGCAAACCGTAGAAAGCGTGTATCATCAAAACACCATAACTAATCATCCGAATATCCAGTAGTTTCAAAGTGGCAAAGCCCATGGACAAAACACCCAGCGCCTATAAACAAACCACCCAAGCTTCCCACAAACATCACAACACGACCGGCATACCCCCGATCCAAAAAAAAAGGGATACACTGAACAAATCCCTCCACTACCAAAAAACACTCAAGCTACTGCAGCTCCAACTCCCTCTCATCGAACAACATGCACCCCCAAACGTCCATGTACCGTATCTATCTAGAAACATAACCAAACACCCATAGTCCTCCCCCTTCCCTCCCATCACCTCGTCGAAAAAAATCCCCCCCCCTTCTTCCTACCACAACCTCGCCACACCACCCCATCCCATCCCATCCCATCCCATCCCCATCCCCATCCACCCCCTCCCCCCTCAACTTCTCGCACACACCACAACAACAACCATGGCCCTTACCCACAA